TGCGAAGTCGTTCCTCTACAGTATGTATGTATGTATGTATGTATGTATGTATATATATATATATACACATATATATATATGCGAGCATGCAGTGCAGGCACGAGTTTGGTGTCTCGCGTCTGTGCTCTAGATGGAGCTTTGATCTTGTCCAACCGACAGGCGCGACGGAGAAACGGGCTCTTCTATCGCGGTATCAACACAGAGTAGGCTTCTTTACAATAATTTTCATTAGCGTTGTTGATTGTTGCTAAACCCTAAAACCCTAAACCCTAAACCCTAAAAGTAGCAGTTGCAGCACCTGTTTGCGTTCTCGAAAAGTCTGCTGGCCTCGTCCGGCCCTGGCAGGCGGACCTCGTGAAGCAGATCAATGCCTTCTTAGGCCCTAGGTGCTAAATGAGCACTCTTTACAATTTTGGGGGAGATTATGACTCCTCTTAAAGTGAAAGTGTCATTTTGGGGGAAATTATGACCCCTCTTAAAGTGAAAGTGTAGATTTTTTTCCGCTTATGAACTCGGCAACTAAGAGGCATTCGCAAAGCGGAGCTCCTGCCGCAGCCCTTCCAACCGGGTGTTCTGCTCTGCGTCCTTTGCATATTATTGTGGACCTTGTGTGTATACAAGGACGGGTGAAAGGGCGTGTCGGAGCAGTAACCCGAAGTTCTAGTTCTAGACTCTAAACCGTCAACCCTCATGCCTGCCGTTTATATTTCTGTCCCTGCCAGTGTCCCGTAGTCCATCTGCAGGAACTCCGTTCTGTTTGGTTGTCTCTGGAAGCCACTATGCAGATCTCGAAGGCCAGAAGGACAACGTTTGAGAATGGTGTGTTTCACAACATCTCTTATGGTCGCTACAGCCTCCTATTGTTGACATATGCAGCCCGTGCAACCATCGCCTCAGTGCTGTTGGCGGCTGGCATCCTCTGGCTTGCTCGCACCACATCCAAGAGCTCATGCTCAATGCTGTTGCTCTCAACGCCATCCTGGATGTTGACGAATTCCTGTTCTCGTGCCTGACCCCAATCAATATCCAGCACGTCATGCAATCTTTGGAGCCGATGCACGTCAAGTACAGCCGCAAACGCAGCCAATGCGAGACACTAGCACATTTTGCCTTCGTCTCAGCGGCGGTGGTGCTGGCCTACTTCCTCTTAGTAGGACCCCTGACGGAAACAATGTTGGTTGTCAAGAGGGAGCTTTGTGGTGGTAATCAGTCCTTCGTCGTCTCGTACAACCGCAACACGCAGGTGACGCATGGTTTTGCCACTGCAAAGGCTGCCGCGCGGGATGATGGTAAGTTGTCAGTCAGCGAGCTGGCTGTGAAGAAGCACATCGGCGTCTCGCCTGAGACGACCCCAGGGGAAGTACCAGACTATATCCTCTTCTCAGGCAGCAGAGCGGCATTCGACACAGACCGTCAGCAGGACATGAACGAACAGGCAGCAGCATACCCTTTCTGCATTGAGACCTAGCTGCTGAAAGAGGGCGCTCTGCTGAATGGTAATGCTCACATGCAGCCAGTTGCAGAGATACTTCTGAGAAATGCCGGCCTGGCACTCGGCTACGAAATGGCATCAAGCTGCGCCCAGCTTCGCAGTATGTGCAACAGATCTGATGCTGCCTTGCTCCGTCTCGTCTGTGGTGAGACGTGCGGCTGTGTGGATCCTTTGGCCTCTCCCCGGTACAAGGTCACCGTGCAGGGCTGCAGTATGGTTTAGGGTTGAGGGTTTAGGGTTGAGGGTTTAGGGTCGAGGGTTTCGGCTTTGGGGGTTTCCCCTAAACCCTAAACCGTACTCCCTAAACCCTAAACTTGTGCCCTCAAGGTCACCGCGCAGGGCTGCAGTACCGCCTGCCTCCATGAGGCCGACCTCCTGTCTGCCAACGTGAGCTGTGAGGATGACGAGACTTAGCCCTGGGTTCTTGTGAAGGGATTTAGGGTTTAGGGTGTAGGGGGTTTAGGGGTTTAGGGGTTTAGGGGTTTAGGGGTTTAGGGTTATTTAAGTTATAGTAAATAATATGGTATGTCTTTATTCTGGTGACTTACATTAGATCCCTTAACAAGAACCCAGTAGCTCTCCGGTGCTCAACCCTTTAATGTGTTGGGTGCTTGTAAATTCGTAGAAATCGGAAGGTTTAACCTTTTGTTTTCGTGGCTTATTGGGGAAGTAAGGAGAGGCAGGCATTGGGAGGAGTTCTGGAGAGGGTATGAAGAGGCAGTGTCTGGACACTACGGAGATGAGGTGACACAGACATCACTCTGGTACACGGTGAATCAAACCATCCAGGGCATGTTGTCGCAAGGTTGTGCCTATCTCCATACGGAGCCCCAGGACTTTGTGACCGGCGCAACTTGGTGCGAAGGGATGCCAGACTTGTTCAAGCCTCTGGCCAGCATCTGTCCACAGACCTGTGGCTGCAGTGGTTTCACCGATGTTTTCCCGAGCTATTGCCTGTCCAGCTGCAACGTCTGAAGCTTCGAGACACCTTCCCGTTCGTTTGACCCGGGCTGGCCCGGGCTGGGATTTTCAAGAAATACATCTTTTCAGCACGTCGGGCTGGAGCAGATCTTGCTTCACAAGTTTCCACGACTCCTGGCGTCTTGCACACGTACTGATTTTCAGAGCCATTCAGCTCAAGAGCGCCTCTGCCGAGAATCGGCATGCTTATAGCAAGCAATATATCATCTTTTGCAAGTTCTTTTAGGCTGGCATCTGGGAGAGTTGTGGGGTACTGATTGTGCAGACTTGAAATCCCCACGGACCTCGGAGTCATCGCAAAAGCGCTGGAGACTTCCGACTCCTCACTCATAAGTCGTACATCGCTGTGTACCAGGAGACCGACCAGCAGGATACTGCTGGCGGTGTGAAATCACATTACTGGGTAACCAGAACGCCACAATGTATAAGAAATTACATTACTCAGTCATTACTCAGTAACTATAATATTCTAATAGTATAGTACTCATACTATAGCACTATAACATTATGATACCACAACACTTTAACAGTAACATACTGCATAACTGTAGCACTATAACACTATAATACAGCAAAAGTATAATACTAAAATACTGTGATACTATAACACTATAACACTAATACTATCGGAGTCATGGTGAGAGACAGCGTCCAATCCCGAGGATGCACCAACACATGCGCTGCTTCTTCGGGCTCCCACAGTCTTTGTTGACCCCCCGGTCATGTCAGTTCTATGCAGTGCCGAGGTCAGTGGCTAAAGCCTCGTGGTCCTTTGTAGGGGTCGTGTTCCTTGGTGCTTTGCGGTTCGCCGGGTGTAGGTTTGAGACTCTGACAGCGCCATGGGCTGTGCCACGTCAGCGGCTGCTAAGCCGGAACAGAAGGTTGTGAAGCAGCGCCGAAGGCGGGAAGCCGATGAAACTCCATGTAGACTCGTGGTAGATGTGACTGCGTCCTTCAATCCTGCAGCGCATCCTTACTCCTAAACCCTGAACCTTAAGTATCTCGGGAGACGTTTTGAAGCCTGAACCGCGAAGCTCCAATGCTATTGGAAGTGGTAAGGCTTCAATCACCCCCAAACTCCTGGATCCCTTGTCGTAACCCTTCAAAAGAACCCTGTTCTCATCAAAAAGGGCTCCAAACAAAAGGCTGCTTGATCTCTGTGGTCGGGGCTTCGGAAAGAAGTTTAGGGTTCAGGGATGTTTAGGGTTTAGGGTCCTGTAAGGGCAGTGTAAGTACATGTCCTCAGGGTGGAAAGCAGCCCACACATGAAACCGAACCCCTAATCGCTAAACTCCCGATTTCCATAAGCAAACCCTAAACCCCCAGCTTCGAGACCCTGAAACCCTTGACACACTGAGCCCTAAACCCTAAGCCCTGAACCCCAACAAACCCTAAGCCCTACACCCTAAATCCTAAACCCAAAGCCCTGAACCCCAAACCCTTAACCCCAAGCCCTAAACCCGAAACCCTAAAGCCTAAACCCTCAGAGTGAGGGTCCGAACTAGGAGCTCAAACCATCACAAGGCCTAACCTCAAAGCCTTGACATACCAAAAGGCCTAGTTGTACGTAGCATTATTGTGTTATCACACTAGAGTCTTCTAGTCTTATGGTCGTCTAGTAGTCCAGTTTTCTAGTACTCTGCTATCAAAAAGATTATAGTAGTACAGCACCCTAGTATCATAGTCTTATAGCCTTAGAGTAGGCCCCAAACCCCCTAAACCCTAAACCCTCAACCCTAAAGCCTAAAGCCTAAAGCCTAAAGCCTAAAGCCTAAAGCCTAAAGCCTAAAGCAAAGCGTGAGCTCTGCGGGGGTCTCCGGAGGTTGAGTGTGGGGAACGTGGACCTTCGGGAGGTCGAAGACGCGGAGGAGGGAGCAGGGTGGGAGCGGGACTCCCTTTAAGGGCTCCCTTAAGGGGCTCCTCTAAGGGCTCCATTAAGGGCTCCTTTCAGGGTTCCGTTAAGGGCTCCTTTACAGGACTTTAGGAGGGGCTTAGGGTTTTTAAGGTCTGTTTGTTTTTTAATCTTCGAGTGTTTGGGGTCTTGCGGTCTTGAGGTTCAAGCGTTGAGGCTTTAAAGGTTGAGGCTTTAGCATGGGTGGCAGCGCCGAAGCAGCGCTTGGTCTTGCATTTGGTGGATTTGTGAGTGTGCCGCGAAGCAGTCTTCGGAATGTGCGGAGCACAGGATGCGCTTAGAAAATAGCGGACGCAGGACCACTCCACGGAAGATGATCGTGGTCTCATCGCTCAATTCTCGCAGCAGAACCTCCTTGACTTGATGGAGAAGGATGGTACCAAGACAGGCGCGCCTGGGTGGCCGGAGCCTCTTGGAGATCCCAGGTTCTTCGTTATTCCCCTCTTAGGGTCTTAGGGTTCAGGGTTGAGGGGTGTCCTCCTTTTGGTGTTTCGTCTTGGTTTTGGGGCGAAGAGTGGATTGTGGTGTGCTTAGGGCCTGGGGGCGACGGGCTCTAGACTCGTGGGGCTGAGGTTTTGTGCGACTTTGCCCCGGGTCTTCTGGGGTCTGGGCATTTTTCACCTGCGCGTTGAGGGTTGCGGATTTGGGGCTTTAGGTGCACTCCATATGGGCTTTGGATTTGCTTAAGCTTTTGTTTCGTCTCCAAGTAATCACAATCTCGTTACATGCTAGTCACGTCAAGCATCGGGCTCGAAGTCCGTGAGCCCAAGCTCTAGACCCCAATCCCACGCCTAAACTGGGTTCTTGTTGGGGGGGTGTAATTTAAGTTACCGTAATAAAGAATCCATATTATTTACTCTAGATCCCTATTATGGAAACATAAAGTAAATTCCTTAACAAGAGCCCAGTAAAGCTTGAGAGCCCGAAGCCTTGAAGCAGAGGAGAAATGATGTTGTGTTGGCATGGACCCGTGTGCTACAAGAACGGATGCCTTGAAGCAGTGAAGGGTTTCGTGCTGCTGCGAAGGCCTTGAACAGAATCCAGGGTCTTGACAAAATCCTTTCCGAACTCGCGGGAAAGCCTGTGCAAGCACCCTGTAAAACACCAACCAGCCACCCGCAAGCGCCTGAGAAACTCGGATTGATTTATCCCAACCACACTCGCGCTCTGAACCCAAAATCCCCAAACCTAAACCTTGAAACCCTAAACCCCTCAACCCCTAAACCGCTCAACCCCCTAAACCCCGCCTTGAAAGGCTCGGGGAGGCGCCTCTCTTCTTTGGGCTCGACCACGGACCAGAATGCCACATCCTTCGCCAACAAATCCATGCAGCAATTAGGCCAGGGCTTCAGGCTGCAGGGCTTTAGGGCTTTAGGGCTTTACGGCTTTAGGGTTTAGGGTCTAGGGTTTAGGAGTTTAGGGTTTACAGAAGGGATGAGGGGTTAGACAGGTTAGAGTTGAGGGTTCTAGGGCTTTTAAGGGTCTTGGGAGGGATTGGGGTGTTAGGCCAGGGGCTTTCGGGTGCAGGCCCTTTGAAAGGAATCGGCGCAACATGGGTCACTGCAGCCAGTAGTACTGGAACAACCAGGAAGCTAAGCGTGATGTCTTCAATGGCTCCAGTGGCACCTGCTGAAACTGAGCGGGTTCAGCTGGCAATGCTGTTGAGAATGGACACGGGATACGGTTTAGCAGAGCCGATCTTGAAAGGCTTTGTTGCTTTAGAATGATGGTTAACTTCGAAACATACTGTTGTCCGTCACCTGGGATTACGAGGAGGACACATGACGGCAAGCGCATTGCAATGTCCCGGCAGAAAGATACGGGTTACATGTGCAACTTAGGCGAGGGGGAGGATTGGGATTGGACGTTGGGAAGGATTGGAGTTGAATCATGTCGCGCCGTTTGCTACCATTGACATGGCATACGTCCCCGAGCGCCCTAAACCCTACATCCTGAACCCCACTGCTGTAACAGGCTCAACCGCACATCTGGAAGAAGGTCTTCTCCCAAGGGAACCGGAACCAACAGAAAAAGATGGTTGCTGAGCATGCGCCTTCCGAATACTGCACATCATATGCGCCGATAGCCCTTCAAGACCTAAACCCCTAAAGCCCCTAAACCCTACACCGGTAGCCTCTAAACCTTCTGAAACTCCTGAACCCACAGACTCCAATAAATCCTGACCACCCTAAGCCCCAAAATCATTTCTAAGATTCTAGAACCCCAAGCTCACCGAAATTGCCAAGCCCTAAAACCCCTAACCCCCTTTAAAAGCTCCCCTCACTTTTCCAAAGGCCTCAGCCTTTCTCCCGAAACCCTAAACCCTAAACCCTAAACCCTAAACCCTAAACCCTAAACCCTAAACCACACGGCATGCAGGTGATGAGCTAAATGCCTCGAAGCATGGCATTGGCTACACTTGCCGGAAGGGGCTGAAACCGGAGAGTCCCAACCAGGAGGGGCTTTCGTCAGGGCTGAGGATTTAAGCTCTGCCTGTTTAGGGATCCTTTAAAGGGATCTATAAGGGGATCTATAAGAGGGTTTAGGGTTTAGGGGTTTAGGGGTTTAGGGGTGTAGGGTTTATGGGGTTTAGGGTTTAGGGTTAGGGCGGTGTCGGGTTCAGGGGTTTTCGGTGTTTTTTTGGGGGCTTAGGGTTTAGGGTTTCCCTAAACCCTAAACCCGGAACCCTAAGCCCTAAACCCTACACCCTGAGGGACTGGCTACTTAGAGAATCCTGTTGTTTGGTAATGTAGTAAGTAGGGTTCTAAGTAACTATAACTAGAGTTATAGCTAGTTATACCCACTTATAACCCTGCTTCCTAAACCCTCAACCCTAAACCCTTAACCCTGCTTCCTAAGTCCTCTAAGCCTCTAACTACTGGCTAGGCGAAGATAGGCCTGCGTTGCGCTGTCGGCCCCTTTGTTCGAAGCTCTCCGCGTCCTCTCCCGGTCCCGATCCCGCGCCGAAAGCCCGAAACCCAAGCATCTCGT